ATAATCCTTGCAAAGCCTACAATGCCCTGCAGTTCTTATATTCCTGCAATATCTATAACACCTCGGTGTGAATGCCTTTAAAAATCTATCTTCACAAAATAGACTTTTCTTTTTGCCCAAAGTTTTGTATTTCTACATTTCTCCTGGACATTGTCATTGAGATGACTTATTAGTACTTTACATTCAACATGCCTAAAAGCAAATGTGTTGTCAGCTTTTCTGTTTCAACCACACCCCCTAATAAGAAGCACTTTATGAAATGTATAATTCTCTCACTATTTCACAAGGTCCCAAATAACATTTTTAATTCTCTCTCTTTCTCTTCTACATCTAATTTGTAGTTTTGCCTCTACTATTTACCAGATAAGAATGCTCTTGGATTTATTTAAATTTGAGTTTCAATTTTCTCATCCTAAAAACAGTGATAAGAAAACCTGCCTTGCAGGGCTATTATAAAGATTAAATTAGCGCATATATATGGTTTTGTGTGCTCAGCACATCAAAGGTACTTAAAAGTGCTAATTATTTCCCTTCCCCTAAGTCCTCTCGATTTTTCATTCATGAGATTGTTCATATTCCTACTCTTCTTTTTTTTAAACAGTACCACAATTAGAAATTAAACCCTGACAACCTCATGCTGGAGACATTTGGTACAACTTCCCTACTCCTGCCTAGCCTCTCTCTTCTCCATTCCATTCTCACATCATCACTGCCTTTTCAAAGTTCTTATTTCCATCTATTTCCTATCAGACAAAACCCAAACTCTTTAACGTGGCACACGTGGTCTTTTCCAAAACCTATCCCAACCTCTTTTTCCAGATTTCTCATTGCTCTCTCCGTAAATGCTTCAACTAAACTGTACAACTTCCCATTCCCTGAATATACTTTTACTTCCCTTCTGCCATGTTCAACAATGCGTACTGAATTGTCCCGTCAATAAGCATTGAGTAAAAGTGAATGGGACAGTGCTTCTACTACACGGAATCTACAACTTCAAGAGGAGATAGAGAGTCTCACCTCCTGAGATTATAAATTCGCTAGAGCACAAGCACTGCCTTAAATAGTTTTCCAGGCATGATACAGGAAACACAAGTATCCTGCCCTCAAAGACTTCACAGTCTTATATCAAAGAGAGAAATTGTACAACTAGCCATTATACGATAAAAGTACAAGCTCCAGAAGCAGGCTGGAAGGGGGTCATGAGAGCTGAACCCTGAAAGAAAGAAAGGTGTGATTCTCCCCAAACCAGGACTTGTCTCTTCTATGTCTGCATACATTCAGCCACGTATTTGTTTCCTCATTCATCCCTTAAGATATATATATATGTATATATATATATATTTTTTTTTTTTTTGTGGTACGTGGGCCTCTCACTGTTGTGGCCTCTCCCGTTGAGGAGCACAGGTTCCCGACGCGCAGGCTCAGTGGCCATGGCTCACGGGCCCAGCCGCTCCGCGGCATGTGGGATCTTCCCGGACCAGGGCACGAACCCATGTCCCCTGCATCGGCAGGCGGACTCTCAACCACAGCGCCACCAGGGAAGCCCAAGATATTACTTTTAAGTGCATGCTACATGACAGACAGTTGTGTGACTCTACAGCATTTAGCAGCATCTGTATTATGCTGGCTGAAAAAGAGAAAAGCAGACCCTAGCGTCCAGGAGTTTGCCTGGCACTTATGACTAGGCCTGGGTGTTCTCCTCTTGAACACAAACAACGTCACAGAATACCAACATCAGAAAAGGCCACTCTGTGACCACGACGGATCAGGACAAAAACAAGATCAGATTCTCTTTCTTTTTTTTTTTTAACATCTTTACTGGAGTATAATTGCTTTACAATGTTATGTTAGTTTCTGCTGTATAACAAAGTGAATCAGCTATACGTATACATGTATCCCCATATCCCCTCCCTCTTGCGTCTCCCTCCCACCCTCCCCATCCCACCCCTCTAGGTGGTCACAAAGCACAGAGCTGATCTCCCTGTGCCATGCGGCGGCTTCCCACTAGCTACCTGTTTTACATTTGGTAGTGTATATATGTCCATGCCACTCTCTCACTTCGTCCCAGCTTACCCTTCCCCCTCCCAGTGTCCTCAAGTCTACTCTCTACACCTGCCTCTTTATTCCTGTCCTGCCCCTAGGTTCTTCAGAACCTTTTTATTTTTTTTAGATTCCATATATATGTGTTAGGATATGTTATTTGTTTTACTCTTTCTGACTTATTTCACTCTGTATGATAGACTCTAGGTCCATCCACCTCACTACAAATAACTCAATTTCATTTCTTTTTATGGCTGAGTAATATTCCATTGTATATATGTGTGCCACACCTTCTTTATCCATTCATCTGTCTATGGACACATAGGTTGCTTCCATGTCCTGGCTATTGTAAATAGAGCTGCAGTGAACATCGTGGTACATGACTCTTTTTGAATTATGGTTTTCTCAGGGTATATGCCCAGTAGTGGGATTCCTGGGTCCTATGCTAGTTCTATTTTTAGTTTCTTAAGGAAACTCCATACTGTTCTCCATAGTGGCTATATCAGTTTACATTCCCACCAACAGTGCAAGAGGGTTCCCTTTTCTCCACACTCTCTCGAGCATTTATTGTTTGTAGATTTTTTGATGATGCCCATTCTGACTGGTGTGAGGTGATGTCTCACTGTACTTTTGATTTGCATTTCTCTAATGGTTAGTGATGTTGAGCATCCTTTCATGTGTTTGTTGGAAATCTGTATATCTTCTTTGGAGAAATGTCTATTTAGGGCTTCTGCCCATTTTTGGATTGGGTTGTTATTTTGATATTGAGTTGCATGAGCTGCTTCTAAATTTTGGAGGTTAATCCTTTGTCAGTTGCTTCATTTGCAAATATTTTCTCCCATTCTGAGGGTTCTCTTTTTGTCTTCTCTATGTTTTCCTTTGCTGTGCAAAAGCTTTGAAGTTTCATTAGGTCCCATTTCTTTATTTTTGTGTTTATTTCCATTTCTCTAGGAGGTGGGTCAAAAAGGATCTTGCTGTGATTTATGTCATAGAGCTTTCTGCCTATGTTTTCCTCTAAGAGTTTTATAGTGTCTTGCCTTACATTTAGGTCTTTAATCTATTTTGAGTTTATTTCTGTGTATGGTGTAGGGAGTGTTCTAATTTAATTCTTTTACATGTAGCTGTCCAGTTTTCCCAGCACCACTGATTGAAGAGTCTGTCTTTTCTCCATTGTACATCCTTGCCTCCTTTATCAAAGATAAGATGACCATATGTGTGTGGGTTTATCTCTGGGCTGTCTATCCTGTTCCATTAATCTATATTTCTGTTTTTGTGCCAGTACCATACTGTCTTGATTACTGTTGCTTTATAGTATAGTCTGAAGTCAGGGAGCCTGATTCCTCCAGCTCCATTTTTATTTCTCAAGATTGCTTTGGCTATTCGGGGTCTTTTGTGTTTCCATACAAATTGTGAATTTTTTTGTTCTAGTTCTGTGAAAAATGTCATTGGTAGTTTGATAGGGATTGCATTGAATCTGCAGATTGCTTTGGGTAGTATAGTCATTTTCACAATGTTGATTCTTCCAATCCAAGAACATGGTATATCTCTCCATCTGTTGGTATCATCTTTAATTTCTTTCATCAGTGTCTTATAGTTTTCTGCATACAGGTCTTTTGTCTCCTTGGGTAGGTTTATTCCTAGGTATTTTACTCTTTTTGTTGCAATGGTAAATGGGAGTGTTTCCTTAATTTCTCTTTCAGATTTTTCATTGTTAGTGTATAGGAATGGAAGAGATTTCTATCTAGGTGTAAAATAAGACACTTCCTAACATTTACAGGCCCTTGGCGTTGGAAAGAATCTCAAAAGCCCCCCAACCCCCTTTTGTATTTGAATTTGAGTTTGGAAATCAGCAACAATGCACCATGGCTCTTCCTACAATTTTATTACCTGGGCCAGTAAGGGATGCTGCAGCTCACATCAAAAGAAAAAACACATGAGAAAATGAGTGAATCCCCAGAGGTTCCTCTACTAAGGACCCACTCTATAAAATGAGTCCTGAGAGACATTCCCAGTCTTAGGTTTCACTGGAACCAGGCAGCAAGAAGTTTAGGGCAAGTAGCAGTCTGAGCCTGCTTCTCAACACACCAGACCCCAAGTATGACAATGGTGTCAAGACCTTGCTTTATCTACTTTATATTCAACTACCACTAGCATAACCCTGCCCCTTCTCCCCACATGCCACTACTCCACCTGACACTTGCATGGATGGATGGGTGGATGGATGGATACGTGCATAAGTACATAAAGTTTTCTTCCTTGGTTCCACTACAACTCATAGGATTTATTCAAATATCAGGGTAAAGTCTTAATCTCCTTCTCTGGAGAAATATTGTCATTATTCTTCTTGTTAAAACTTCCTAAACATCTGTAGCTGGCTAGTTTCTAATCATAATAAAACCCAAAAGATATCATAATTTGGGTAGCATAACTCCATATCTGGGACTCAAAAATATCCAGTCATGATTTCACTGGGAAAATGTAGCATCTTCTAAATGTGACCTTCTACATTAGTTACCCCTGTGTGTGCCTATCAGAACTGGAGTTGATGCTTCCAAAAGTTTAAAAAAAGAGAGAGCTGGACTTTAGATTTGCAAGTGTAGTTTAAGGAAGATCTATGATATACCTGCAAATGAGATGCAGTTCTATGTTAAAGTGAGGCATGACTTATTTTACAGCCAAAGAAAAGATAGAGCATTAAATGCACCATTCGTTTATGTTGATGAAAATGCACCCAGGGCCTGTGGGTATACAAACTGTTAATAGAAGTCATTTCAACAGTTACCTTCCAGTTTCACTCTCACCTAGCAGGGGAGGTGTGTTTCAATTAGAAGATTCTTGCCAGTATTTCCTTATACTTTCTAGGCAGCTCTTTGAAAATTAGTGGGTTTGCAGATAGGTAAGAAGGAAACCTCATTACCCGCCCTCAGAGAGCTGAGAAATAAAATGTGTGTACTACTCACGGCTCTGCCTGGAGGCTCCTGTCCTCAGCCACATAGTTAGAAGGAATATAGCCCTGCAGCTGCTGGTTGGAGCCGTCTGTCCTTTTCTCCAAGTGCCTGGCGAGCCACCAACCCTCATGGGACGTGTCCAAGACTTGGAGCTTGTCGCCCGCGCAGAAGCTCAGGTCCTCTGGGGTCCGAGCCTGGTAATCAAACAGAGCCACAAAGTACTGGCCCTGGCTTCTCTTCGGCTCCGGACGTGGCGGCTGGGGAGGATCGGGGGGGCAGACAGTCCACGGGTTCTGAATCACCACCGACTTGTCTGCCTCCTGAGACAAGCAGGGGAGACAGGGCTCCAGGTACGTCCGGAGCCTCAGGCAGATGTTACCCATGGCGCCCCCGTGGGCAGTGGGGGAGAGGGGCTTCTCCCTCTCCCCTTACTCTCTGCAGATACACTTTCTCTTCATCCACCTGGAAACTTTGAAATCAGCACCAGTCCTCCAGGTTTGGGGAGCGTGTACCGAGCTCTGGTTCCCAGCAGTCCGGTGGACCTGCTTGGAGAGACTCACCGGCTTGCTTTCTGTGGCCGTAGCTGCTGCCCCAGAGCAAAACCGGGTGGGAGCTGGGCAGCTGCTCGGTGGGAGAGTGACTTTTCTTCTTGTCTGCTTAGGAATCCCACCACAAAAATAAATTTGAGAGGGCTTTATTTAGACAAACGTCTGAGAACAGAAAAGAGTCCTCTTGCCTCTTGTCCCAAGAAAAAGTTACCAAGCGAAAGAAGTGAACTCCAGGTAAGATCTCCACGTCTTACCTTTGCCAGCAGCTCTCTCCCGTGTCAGGTCTGTCTCTGTGGTTTGACCAGTCCTGACCCCCACTGCTCTTTCTTTTTTGCCAATGAATAACCAACCGGCCCAGGCTTCTGCCTTTAACATCCTGAGCTAGGAACAGACTGTAATAATTTCTTCTTACTTCCTGGTTCTTTTGTGCCTGTGATCTAAATGGGATTCCCGTCCTCTCTACCTCTCCCTTCTCCCACACCCGAGAGACTAGCGCCCTCACCAGGGAGCCAAACTCTTAAAAGCAGCTGTCAAAATCCATGCTCCTGAGCTTCCCTGGTGGCGCAGTGGTTGAGAGTCTGCCTGCCGATGCAGGGGACACGGGTTCGTGCCCCGGTGCAGCGGGATCCCGCATAACGCGGAGCTGCTGGGCCCGTGAGCCTTGGACGCTGCACCTGCGCGACCGGAGCCTGTGCTTCTCAGCCGGAGAGGCCACAAAATTCATGCTCCTGGACAGATAGGCCAGCCCAGGGAGCATATTGTCCTGCTATGCTACCAGCACAGAAATTAAAGGCAGAGATACTTTTCTTCCATAAGGACGAGTAGGATAGTTTTGCCACCACTAAGGGGAATAAAATGGAAAAGTGTTTGGGTATTTGTTACTGGACAAAAAGGCAATTGGGAAAGAGCCATTGAGTTCCTACCTTTTTTTTATAATCACTGTGAATAGATTTTAATAGGCTCAAAATACATTTACAGTCTGGAAAAATACAAGAGCAGCTGACTAAAACGGTGAGAAACCGAAACACTGCATTTTCCCACAAAGACATGTAATTTCCCATCCTTCATGTACTATTTCAGAAACACACACACACACACGCACACACGCACAGACTAGGTGACCAGTGGAGAGAAAGAGTAGGAGGGCTGCATGTGAGCTGCTGTGGAAGCTCCTTCTGTTCAACTTTGACTCCAGGTCTGCACTAGTTCTTGCTAACTTCGCTGGCAGGAGCTCAGGAACTAATGAAGCTGACATCAGGGCAGCCATCGCGATAGGCAGTGAGTTTTGCTCTACCTCCCCTAGTTCAGGGCAGCTATCTCACAAATGGGTGCGCTGGATCCCAAAGAACACCTAGGCAGTAAGTTTAGATGGGTCAACACAAGGCCATTTTCACGAGTAGAGAACACTGCAGACTTGTTTATGATGTGTCGCTTCTTTTTGTATAAGGCCTTTATTACCAAGTTGCTCTCTTAAAAACAATTTCTCTAAATGTTGCTGGAGCCTTGAACCTGGCTAACCTAACCCCAGTACAAACTCAAAATTCCTGTTCTTTGTCAAACAGCAAGGCATTTTTAGTAATCAGAATAACTGAACTCAAGAGAAAGAAAAAAAGAAGAAAAGAAAGACAACCAGAGGACCGTGGCCTTAGCCCCTCCTGCTATTTCCTTGTACTAAAATCAGGCATTCATGGCAGACAGATCATTTGGTTAAAACAAGATCTCATGTTCTAGGTTTCTCCAACTGTCTTCAGAGTCAGAGTAGAAAGTACTAATTTGGCAGGAAGAGAAAAGCCAAAAGCCAAGCCAGGCTTGTTTGTTTGTTTGTTTGTTTGTGATATGGGACGGAAAATATAATTCCAATATAAAACAGAAGAGAAAATAATGATTACATAATATTGAGAAGCCATAAGAATATTTTGTTCCAAACACAATATTAATTGTAAAAAGTGTAGGATCCTATTAATGCCCCTAAACAGAGGCATAGATGCTAAAGTCCTTCCAGAGACATCTACATGATCTAGAATATGAAATAAGATTTGGAAGCAACTAGAGAGATATATTCAAAACCAATTTGTAAGCGGAGTTTAAGATTTAAGAAATATGAAGTTTCTAAATTCAAATATGCCTCCATTACGGTTATGACAAGGCATTCCAGAAAAAGACAGAGTGGCAGACCTGTACAGCACAGTCACTGAGCTAGTGAATGAAATTGAAAAAAGAAATCAGCCATCCAAAGACATCAGGTAAGCAATGGCCTGAGAAACCTGAGGCAAGGGGTGGGGAGAGAAAGGGTTTCCTTGTGTCCATAGCACCAGAATTCTACAGTCACCCAAGCTTGAAGCCTTGCAGTCAGTCATCTTTTCCTCTTTCCC